GCGCACTCCACTCTCGTCCAATCCGCTCTCGCTTACCTATCGATCAACAGACGCGGTGATGACATGCCTGCCTGCGCGCGCGGCTGCTAGCGCCGCGTGCGTGCGTGTGTGTCAAAAAGGAGCTGCTGCGAGGCTGTCTCGGGTAGAGGGAGGGCCGAGGTGAGGGCGAGTGTAAGGACGGAGTGTGGACCTGACAGGCGCAGTGTAAGGCGAAGGTAGGGTGTGCGAGAGTGGAAGGAAGGACAGGCTGAAGCCTGAACGCGAGCACACGTAAGCTGGCCAATCACGGAGCGACATTGGTCCTTCAAGCTCGTCTGCATACTCTCGCTACCGGCCCTCTCGCGTTCTACGCTGACTGGAACAGCCTTCGCTTTCCTCTCGCCCTCTCTCTCTTTCACATGTTGGGCGCCGCGAGCGCGCGAAGGTTAGTAAGGGGCGGTGGGCGTGTGGGGACTGTTTTGATTGCCGTCTTGGCTGCTCTCGTTCGTGGTCTATTAGGAGGTCGTGGTCCGTTGAGCTGTGGGTGGCCTTAACGGGGTTTTGGGCACTTCAGGTTTTTAATATTTTGACAATTTCCAATCATAACTAAGGGGTTAAGTTACAAGACAAAGAGCAGCGGAAAATACACGACTGCTCAGACCTCGGTAGGGTGCGTGACTGTAAACATCACCGTTCCCATTGTTTGAAATTTCCTTCCCTTACTGACTAAAGGTAAACTTACACGCAACGCTTTAGTCAAAGTCCGTTATTTTTTGGAAATTGCTTTTGGCTTATATTTTAATTATTGTGTTCGCTTTCCGCAGAAATTTATCCATTTTCTGGTCGGATGTGGTTATCTAGCCGCACCTGAGGTAAACAAACCACAACCACTTGTAATACGGGGCCGGTGGTAAACGTCACTTTTTACAGGTGGGGGCGGGGAACGCATAGGAGACGAGGTCAAGTAATTGTATGCAAAAGGAAAGGTATCGGGAATGCGCGGTTGTACTTTGAGTGGTTGAGAAATAGTTGCTCTAACCCCTAACTCTAATCCTTTAATCCCAGCCCTAACCCTTAACCGCAGTCCTAAACCCTAACCCTGAAACATCCAACGAAAAAGTTAGAAGGGGACGACAGGTCGAAATTCTAGAAGAACCACCGACATTGGGCCCGAAAAGGTAGACACGGCAACAAATAAACAGGGTCTCCAACAGAACACACACCGCAACACCATGCCAACGTAATCACACCAACTCAAAATAATTAAGTTGGTCGACAGTATTGTGTCCATCAGGTGCGGCTACGTAACCACGCCCTGCCGGAACCACAACTGCAGGACCTGGTTTGAGTCCCTTGGGAAGACAACTGTAGGGTTTCTCCGCTGATCCAGTCACTGGGACGCCGCTGAGTGGATCTATGATTTTTTTCGGCCGCCCTATAGACTGACGACTTTAGTGATGACCATCGACAATTCAGAAGAAGATGTAACCACCGGAATAGAATTTTATTGGCCTGACGTCTCGGATTTTCAAGCCAACCCATCATCAGAGACATTCATGTACCATGATTAATAGCTGTCGCGATTACCGCTGGGGCTCGTAAATGATACTATGGTGGTCACTGCCTTCTTCGTCAGCTCGAATCGTAAATCGAGGCCGAATTTCCGTGCTCAGGGAATCCGCGGTGCTGGGTTGCAGGAGGTTTGCACGCACGTCTCGCAAGTGGCACTTCCGGTGCAGATGCGAGGTGAAGTTTCAGGTGTCAGAACAAGAACAAGGTCCGGCGCATGCACGTTACCAGCTTCGGCACCATGCATCAATCTGCTATCGTGAATCCAACTGCGGAACTTTGAACCAACCAGATGGCTGACCTTATGGCCGTCATTGAAATACCGGATCATCATATATCTGTGGCGGTGATGGAAGCACCTGTAGGTTAAAACCAGTCGCAGTATGTGTGGCGCACGCGAGGCTAGAACTCGCAACCTGGTTGTTAGAAGTCAACGCCTCTACTCACCGGGCCACGAGCCCGTTTCCCTGTCGGTTTTCGATCGGGAATATACAATGGTAGGGGGCGCTCACCGATCGTTCTTACGGAACTCACTCGTTCCGTTGTGCCTTATGGACTCTCTCTCCCGAGCTCAACCAGCAGCCGCGCAGCGGCGCATGATATAGGCAGGATGATATTACCGACAAAGACAAGGGAGACTGGAATGGCCATTTCAGGCCTATTAGTCGTCGTCAACCAGTCATACCCAACCGCGATGCTCTCCGTTCGGTGTGCTACCCCACCCGCAAAATCCCCTCTACAACCATTAAACGTATGACACGGTCCGCGGACTGGCTCAAGTTAGTTGTGGGTCCTACACCCTATCATTGCCCCCGATTTCTGTATTGTGATCTAGTAGTACGACGGAAATCGAGACTGACTGCAAAAGATATGATAAAATTCGTGCCGAGTTGTACGGACCAACCTCACGCATGATGAATAAGATTTTGAATAATTCATATTAACCTAACTGGGAAAACTCGGCACCTCGGTGGGATTCGAACCAATGCAGTAAGCAGAAGGCTTTAGTACAGCCAACGCTCTAACCACCTGAGCTACGAGGCCCCGCCGGACGAGTCGAGTTTAATCACATTTGGGTCAAGTTTACCCGCCCAACCTACCGCAACATCTGGAATCCACCAAATCTGATACAGTAAGTTGACTGCCCAAGCAGGATTTCCTAAGTAATTCACCTAGAATCCACCAGATGATTACCAGGCTCACGTAATTCATAGGTATTTTGGCGGGGCCTCGTAGCTCAAGTGGTTAGAGCGTTGGCTGTACCAAAGCCTTCTCTTTACTGCGTTGGTTCGAATCTCACCGAGGCGCCGAGTTTTTCACAGTCGGGTCAATATGGACCACTATTACCACCGGTCCCGTATTACGAGCGACCTAATTCTGGGTTCAGAAGATGAGTTGGCGAGCTGGGCTCCACACAATGTCCTGAATCAGCAGCATGTGCGAGAATGGTGCTTCGCCCTTACTTAGCCGTGTTGGGAGGTTTTCTCATATTCTCTTGGATTGGCGCCGACTCGTGCGATCAATATAGCGTGCTCCACAGGAACATGTGATGAAGTAGTTGCGCATTGCGGTAGTCTGAGGTGGCATCGTATCATTCCCTTATCCGCGTAAAATATGGTTAGAAGAGAACGAGACTCGAACCCTTGCTGCTCCTTGCGTCTCCTTAGGAGTTCATTCATGGCGTCCCCTTGAATAGGGGTTTTCGAGGAACAAATTTTTCTTTTCGGCAGTAAGTGTGGTGGGGTTTACCGGTCGGTCGGCAATGTCCTCTGCAATAAACTTGGCAGGATACCTGTTTTTGCGAAGCAAGTCTCGGGTTTTCTAAGCTCTTCCTCGATGCTATCTGTTGAATAAACTGTTCCAGCTCTTTGTGCCTAACACTGGTCTAGATTTCGCTTTTGTTGGAGGGGCACAAAACTGGGGAAGTTCGTGTATTGTCCAAACCGGGTTTTCTTTCAACAGACGCTATTTCGGACGCTACCGTCAAGTCTTTCGCTTAGAAGAACATTTGAGAAAGGGAACGAACCGGCTGTTCCCATCTCCAACGTGAATTTGATCAACGGATGTTTCTGATTTACAGCATTTAGGAGGGCAGCAACGTCGGTTTCTGTGGTGGCAATTGCCAAGATATGATTGACTTAGTGACCATAATGTTTAGGCTTAATGACATGATCGCTTAGTTGAAAATTATCCAGCTCGCTCATGAAGACGTCGACTAAGAGAGGTCCAAGAACCCAGTCCATAGGGACGTCGTCTACTTGTCTATAGAATTGGTTGTCAAAAAGGAACTGCACATTTAATGTGCACCTTAGTAATAATTCCTTGAGAGTGTTCGTCGGCATTCCTATTTCTTGCTGATTGGCAGATAGAAAATCACAGATGTAATCAACTGTCTCGATGACCGGGACGTTTGTAAAAAGTGACGCAACGTCTAGTGAGAACATTATCATGACGTTAAGCTTGAGGTCTTTAATGTCGTCAATGATTTCAAAAGTATCTCGATAGCTGCGTGGTGCCAGCTGATGTTGTATGGGCTTGAGTTTCTCTGCTATCCACTTCGCTATCGCTTGGTACGGAGAGTTTCGCATATCTAAAATCGAACTAACTGGCAGATCTTCCTAATGAATCTTAGGAAGACTATATAGCCGAGGAATATGTGTGCCAACTGGTCGGAGGTGTTCGAGGTTACTGTCACTTATGTAATCCCCTGTGTGGAGCCTTCTTAGGCAGTCAGTCAGTTTCGCCTCTGCAGTATCCGTGAAATCCCTTTCTTCGTTACTTTCCCGAATTCCCTCTGGTCTGATAATATGGACCGTATCTTCGCTACGTAGTCCGATCAGTTCACGTTAACGACGCCTGTTCCTTTGTACCGTCTAATTACAGAGATATCCTTATTCTCCCGAAGTTATTTTAACTTTTGCACGTATGCTTTTGTCAGCAATCCCCGACATTTTGACCCCTTGTTCAAGTACTGATAACTGCAATTCAGCAGTGGTGATTTAAATTGTTGGGTACTCTCTGTGGAAGCGGGCACTAGATCATGGGTTCAGTTCAATGGGTTCTCGAGCTGAGTTTCTAATTCTAACTGATAAACTTTTCGATGAGGTATGCAGAACTTACGACAAAGGAAGAATGCCTAAAGTGATGTTTTATCAAGTATCATTGCACAGTAACCTCTTAGTTTAAATCCATTTCACCGGATTTGGCACATCAGAAATTAGGTAAAATGCAGGATCCGGCCAAGACTTAGCATCCGACTAACTCAAGTTAATTGTGGGCCCTAAACCCTATCGTTTCCCCCGATTTCTGTTTTGCGCTCTGATAGTACGACGGAAATCGAAACTGCCTGCGACAGATATGATAAAAATGGCACCGTGTTGTACGGACCAACCAAACGCATGATGTATAAGAAACCGATACAAGCGAAGATGCGAGTTCCAGGAACTAGTTGATCAGAAGAAGAAGAAGAAGAAGAGGAAGAAGAAGAAGAAGAAGAAGAAGAGGAGGAGGAGGAAGAGGAAGAAGAAGAAGAAGAAGAAGAAGAAGAAGAAGAAGAAGAAGAAGAAGAAGAAGAAGAAGAAGAAGAAGAAGAAGAAGAAGAAGAAGAAGAAGAAGAAGAAACGATCGCCTTCTTGCACCACTTGGAGTTGGAGTTGCACACAGACCGGCGGCAACCATGAGGCGTCAGTTAATGAAACCGAAAGACCCACTTCCACGGCAAGAAACGTCTGGAGTCGTTTACCCGATCTGGTGCAGTTGCGGACAAAGCAACTACGTCGGAGAAACTGGAAGACTGCTCCGAACGCAAATTTCCGAACACGCGGTAGCGGTACGGAGAAATGACGCCAACTCTCAGATCGCGACCCATTCGACGAGACCCGGCCACACATTCAAGTTAGATGAGGCCGAAATTCTTGCGAGAGGGGATAATCGCGTGAGCCGCGAGTTGCTTGAGTCATGGTTCACGGGACCTCAGTCTATCAACAAGTGCAACGACATCCCCACTCCATATTCCGTGCTGAGGCATAGGCTGGCCAAGGTAATTTAACACTAGGGGAGCGCGCAAGCCGGTGAGCCAGATGGCCGAGCAATCATCACGCCAGCATCCAACACGGGTGATGAGATGTCAGCAATTAACAACTTGCATGCCGGCCAGCAAGCAATTAGCGCACTAGCGGACAACAATCCTCGATGAAGGTGAGCGCGGATAATTACTATAGGTGTGCGGTAGAATACCGACTGCATCCTATAAATACTGCAACTTCCTGTGCCCGAGTCACCCTTTTCTGCCGCTGTCTCTGATGATGGATTCAAGTGAGAATCCGAAACGTCAGGCGAATAAAGGTACATCTTTTATTAGTTGGCAGACAGTAGGTATATTAACCGCTTTCTAAAGGTGGAAGATCTCGTGGTTAGTGGTTGGTCGTTCGACTGATGTACAATGACCGAAAATTTGCTGTTCGATCTGAGTTTATCCCGGCCTCGATTTTGGACGCGGTTGCCTGAACACGGCAAGGGCATTGGAAACGGTTGTTGAACTTTACACTGGAATCCCCCTGCCAGCTGGCATCCCAGATGCGCGATTTACTGAATCTTCCCTCCTCTTATGACCTAAAAGTGCACGTTGGCTAAGTCCTCCGCGTGTTTTCTTGTGTGAGTTAAATCTTTAACAATAGGAATGCAAACGTGTGACTAATGCTCTTAATAGATGAGTTTTCAACGCCGGTCTGGAAGTGTTTATGAACAACTGAATAAAAATCCATCATTATAACAGACAAACCATATACTATTCTTATCCGCTAGTATTTCAGTAGTACAATATGAACAATGGAGGCGATCTTACCCGGCGCCATCGATTTCCCGAGAAATATCCCATTACATCTATCACTGACATGCCTGGTCACTACTGGGACACCAAATTAGGTCTGCTACATTTTCGCTGCCTTTTTACGTGAGTATAGGTATCAGTTCGGATCCCAGATGCATGCTTTACCGAGTATTCTGTCCAAATTGGTTTTGTCCGACGTGTAGTTCCTGTGGCTAATAAAGTGCATACTACTCGCGTCTGTAAATCTGTCGGTAGTATAATACACACTATAGAGGCGGCGAATAAAGATCTTGTTCCAGCGATCGCTTTTTCTTCTGATCGGATAAGACACCCTAGTTATCACATGAGGGATACGCATTCGATGGTCTGCTGAGAACTCACAAGCCGACTTCTGTCCTAAACGCCAAACCGACATGTAACTTGACCAAGTATATGAACACGAAACTGAAGCCCCTCCAGAACAATTGGACTAACTCTGTGTTGTTTGCCTCCAAATCCATCTTTGACCTTTGTGGTCAAAGGAATTGGTCGGACGAAATCACGGTTAGCATCCATCCCACCGGATTTGTCGCATCAAATAAAATGGAGGGTCCGGCCAAATTTAGCGCCCGATGGTGTTGTCTGAGTTCTGCGAGTGAACTTACTTCACTTTTGTTGGAGTGGTATGTGAGCAGGTGAAGGAAACTAGATGGACGCCCCAATCTCTGATTCAGGGACAGAAGTAATCCTATGGGTGATAGAAAAGGCTACCTTCTGTCAGCATGAACTTTCGTTTGGTGGCGTTGCGTCGACAGCTGGGTTTGTTGCCATCAAGAACAACATGCTCCAACACTCTCGCAGCATTCTCAACGTCGTCTTACCAGATATTCAATGGACGGGGGACGAGGTGAAAGAAAAACGATCTCCGCATTGGCGCATCACAGACAAGCAAAGAATAGAACAGACTTTGAAACAGACACGGGGGGCTCGAACTTGGTTCACAACCTCTCGCCTGAGCAGCTAACGGAGCAAAAACTACGGGTGCTGTGGTAGTGAGCTTGTTTTAATACCACAGAGGCTGACCCTGTTGGCATAATGGCAGCCCTAGGAGAGATGTTTGCGAAAATTAAAACAACCGGTGACAAGAGACACTCCATTCGACAACATATCACCTCCTTGCTGATGACGCACAGACTAACACAATGTGTCAAAAACTATGAAGGAGCTAGGGATGGACCAACAAATTATCATTCTGCTGGCGGATAAGAAACTGTTGTGATGGACTGAGAGGACTGTGATGAGAAAACCAAGGCTTTACTTGATGACAGACAGTTTAAAAGACCTACACAGAAATCAGAAACCAAATGTAGAGGGGCTCTCCCCGATCGTTTTTGCGGAATTCACTCGTCCCGTTATCCCTTAGGGAATCTCTTTCAAGCCCAACCAACAGTCGCACCGCGGCACATGATACAGGCAGTAAGTTATTACCGACAAAGATATGGGAGACTGGAATGGCCATTTCTGGCTTATTAGCCGTCGTCAGCCAGCCATACCCAAGCCCGAAGTGTGGAACACCCGAGGCTCGAACTCGCGACCTGTTAATTAGAAATCAACGCCTCGAACCACTGGGCCACGAACCCGTTGTCCTGTCGGTTTCGATCGGGAATATACAATGGTAGGGGGCGCTCACCGATCGTTCTTACAGAACTCACTCCCTCCGTTGTGCCTTAAGGGCTCTCTCTCTCTCGAGCCCAACAAGCAGCCGCACAGCGGCGCATGATATATAGGCATAATTGCATTACCGACAAAGATAAGGGAGACTGAAATGGCCGTTTCTGGCTTATTAGTCGTCGTCAGCCCTACTTTTTAAGCCAGAAATGCCCATTCCAGTCTCCCTTGTCTTTGTCGGTAATGTTATTCTGCCTATATTATGCACCTCTGTGTGGCTACTGGTTGGGCTCGAGAGAGAGTCCAGAAGGCACAACGGAACGAGGGTGTACCGCAACGGGATCGCTGGACGCCCCTCTACCATTGTATATTCCCCATCGCAACCGACAGGACAACGAGCCCGTGTCTCAGTGGTTAGAGGCGTTGGACTTCTAATCAACAGGTCACCGGATCGAGCCCCAGGTTCTCCAAACTTCGAGGTTGAGTATGACAGTTTGACGAAGAGCGCGATGAAAATGGAAATTTAAACAAATACTGACAGAGGAATCTGCAGAGAGAAGAAAAGAATAATGAAGAAAAAAAGGAGGGCATGGAGAAGGAGGACAAATTTATGGAGAACTGTGAGTAAAACTGGGCGCGCAGGAAGAGGAGGAGGAGGATTTGGCTATTAAAATTATTGACCTTTAGGCCAAAAATGTTTATGGTATGCGATGGAAGACTGGTCCTTCTCCGAAATCACGCACGTCCGGGTGGAGGGGAGGAGATAGAGAGATAAGGAGTGAGGGCAGATAAAACGTACGAAGGGCGTATGGCGGAAGGAGGAAAGAGGTGAAAACGTGCCTATATAGCATGCGCCGCTGTTCGGTTGCTGGTTGGGCTCGAGAGAGAACCCTTTAGGCACAACGGAACGAGTGAGTTCTGTATGAACGATCGGTGAGCGCCCCCTACCATTGTATATTCCCGATCGAAAACCGACAAGGCAACGGGCTCGTGACCCGGTGGGTAGAGGCCTGGACTTCTAAACCAACAGGTCGCGAGTTCGAGGCTCGGGTGTTCCACACTTCGGGCTTGGATATGGCTGGCTGACGACGGCTAATAAGCCAGAAGTGGCCATTCCAGTCTTCCTTGTCTTTGTCGGTAATACCATTTCTGCCTATATATATATATATATCTATATATATATATAT